CACATCGAGAGCAATCTGGCCGAGTGACGCGGCCTTCTTGCCAGGAATGACTCCATAGAAACTCATGTTGCTTGTGCTGAGTCTGGACATCTGAATGCCCATCCCTTTCAGTCAGTCGAGTACCTTCGACGACTGGGTCGACCACCAGAGCTTGCCTCCCAGGGGTGGGTATGTGCGTCGGGTGATCAGACTGGTCGAATGTGATGGCCGTCTGAGACCACTTCAGATAATTGGGTGTCGTCGGAGCAACCATATTCACCTCTCGGTTTATAACTTTCAGTCGACTTTTGCTCTCAACGTCAGCAAAAATCACCAGAGTGGAATTGACCTGAGGATATTCCTCGTCACTATCCCCCTTGTCCTCAACTTTTTCCGACTCCTTTTTCTTATCCTTGGACTGTTTCCCTTGAAACTGATGTATCAAGAGTCGACACTGTCGAGTGGTATGCTTCGGGTAAATGAAATTACCCTCTTCATCTTTCTTCATGTGGATGTGGCACGGCAAATCCATCACGTCATTTTCTTCTTTATCCTTCACTTTCTTGGGGTTCCAAGGCCCTTTGGGCCTCCCTTTGAACTTTCCTTGAGTCACGGCCAAGGCTTCTCCAGGAGCAGCTGGCTCGGCTTTTCGCTTTTGCTTCCGACTGGAGTTCCCTCCTCCGGTTTCCTGGGCGACTGACTTGTGCTTGCCACTCCGGAGCCGATCCTCTTCCTCACCATTGGCATATTTGGTGGCTATCTCCATCATTCGACTCAGAGACATGTCTCCGGTTCGACCGAATTTCAGGCTTAGCTCTCTGTGCTTAACGCCTTCCTTGAAGGCACAGACTACCTGGTGATCAGATACATTCTCTACCGTGTGATGTAATGTGATCCATCCATGGATGTAATCTCTCAAAGTCTCATTCGACTTCTGCACACAAGTTTGCAGCTCTGTTAGTCCTGCTGGTCGCTTGCATGTTCCTTCAAACGTTCTGAGAAACACTCAGGAATGATCTTCCCACGTGTAAATGCTGCTGGGTGTCAACTGATTCAACCATGCTCTGGCCGATCCCTCCAACATAAGAGGCAGATGTTTCATGACCACCTCATCATTTCCGCCGCCGATCTGGACAACCACTCGGTAGTCTTCAAGCCAAGTATCAGGCTTAGACTCACCATTGAACTTACTGACTCCAGTCGCCAACCTGAAGTTGGGGGGAATCACTGCGGCCCTGATGGCTCTGCCGAAACACTCTGGCTCTGAGACATGCACTCGGCTGCTGGTGGGTACATCTCGGTCGTGACCCTCTCGGTGAGCTCTGTTCCGGTCGACCAGACCTTGAACGATGATGGACCTCGCATCAAAGCCTGGCTCCCTGGGGTCGACTGGAATCCTTCACCCACCACTGTGCTGGCGTCTATCATCCTGCTGTCGAGGTGCTTAGGATCCACCCCTTAGGGGAGGGGTGGGCACTCGACATCGATCATCGCAATCAAATCGGTGATCATACTGCTCATGGTTCTTGTACTAATCGTGTCGGTCTCCATGCCCCTCACGCCTCGGGGGCGATCTGGGGCTATGAGCCGACTGGACTGTATTCGCAGCCACGGATCTGCTATGAATCCTGTTCCGCGACTGTGATACAGCTGAATTTTGATCTCCTGCTGCCTAGAGCAAATCTCTGATCTGCATCAAGCCTCTGCTAGCCTCTGACTGGGAAGGCTGAATCAACTCTGCTATACGGGCTTCAGCTGCTAAATTCTGAATCGGAGTTCGATATACCTGAGTCGATGGTGGAAAGAGCTGATGTCGACTTGAGTCCGGAACCCGTTGCCGCGCACGCTCGTCGAGTGCTCGCTGAAGGTTCTCCAGTCGAGTGCGCTCAGCCAAGTTGGCCAAGCGCGCATCCTCTAAGGCACGAGCCTTAGGGGTTTCTCCAACGATAGGGGTGTGAAGTGCATCCATGTTCCAGCGGCGAAGTTCTTCCCTCTGCAGCGAATTGATGGGCTCGGGGAGGTACTCTTCATGGTCGCGCGAAGGATCTCCTCCACCGTCGCCTCCCTCGGCGCCAGGAAAACCGGGAGGACCGCGTGGTCCATCGACCATCAGAACCTCCGCCGCTGGATCACTGCTATCGCACTCGGATGCAGTCTCTGTGGAGCTAGTCGACAGGTCGAACAGGTCGTAGAGAGATTCGTCGGGCTCGATTACCGCAACCTGGGGGATGGCCGACTGGCGGGCCACCGCGTGCCTCACCCACCGCCGAAGCCTCGACCGACCGGAGCGCTAGTGCCGGCGGGAAGCAGGGAGGGAGGATGACACAACGATCGACCGATACTGGATCGACGGTTGCCGCAGGAGGACTCCGTGGACGCACTCGCGAAAGTGCATCGCTCCGCGGACTGGGAGCGCGTCGATGTCGAGCGGAGCCTCCTGAAGCCAAGCGGAGTCGTCGGCGATGAACGTGAGCGCGCCGAGATGGATCTCGCGGCCCTCGACCAAAACTCCGCCTGAAACCATGATGAAGGAGATCGGAAAAATTGCAACTTCTCCAATAAGTCGCTAAGACACCTGCCCCATGGTGGGCGCCAACTATCGTAGTTCTAAGTCTGACAGTAGTGTAGGGGGGGTACTAAGGGAGAGGCAAGATCCTAGCTATGGAGTAGTTGTACACGCAAGAGTTTTACGAGTTCAGGCCCTTCTCGGAGGAAGTAACAGCCCTACGTCTCGGTGCCCAGAGGCGGTCGACTGGATTATATGCGTGTGAGTTACAGGGGTGCGGACCCTTTACACTGAGGAGGGGGGTGGCTTATATAGAGTTCGCCAGACCCCTCCAGCCCTCAGTTATGCAGAGTTTAAAGTACATTAAGAAAGGGGGTTACTGGTAACACCCACATAAAGTGCTATGAAGATCATTAAGGCTACTTAATGACAGACCGTTACCTGCAGAGTGGCTTTAGATCTCCTGGCTGTCGAGTGATTGGCGTCATGGTCGAGTGATTGGCTTCATGGTCGAGTGTCTTTGAGTTCGTCGAGTGGAACACCTCTAGGTCGACTGACAGGTGGTTTCTTCTAGAGATGTCCTTGGGTAGGGTAGTTATGACAGGTCCATGACCCTACCCTAGGTACATAGCTCCATCAAGGCACGGTTGTGCTGTCGCAAGAGTCACGGCCGTGACTCTTGAAAACAGAAAAAAAATGTGTTTTCTTTTTTTTTCGCGAAAGGCACGGTTTTGCTTCCGCGAGAGGCACGGTTGTGCTTTCGCGAAAGTCACGGCCGTGCCTCCTCGGAAACGGAAAAAAAACGCTTTCTGTTTTTTTCGCGAGAGTCATGGTTTTGCTTCCGCGAGAGGCACAGTTGTGATTTCGTCAGACGCATGGGCGTGCCTCTTTCGAAAAGGGAAAAACCCATGCTCCGGCTTCTGTTTTTTCGTCTGGGTTTTTTCGTGAAAAAAAAGTTCGTCAAAACCTATCAACATGGGATCTAGTTTTGAAGATCTCGACCCGAGGAATCCAACGGCGAAAGCGGTTCGAGATTTGGACGCATGGTTTAAGAGATAAAATGCTTTGAATAAACGGATCTACAAAAAAAGGGAAAACTCCCAGGTTGCGACAAGTGGCACACATGCAGCACGCCACTTGTCGCAACCTGGGAAATTGGAATGATCTCCGCAACGAGTACTCCTTAACTAGTGATTTGGCTTATCCTAAAAAAAACTAATGATTTGGCTCGAAGGTGTGCTCCCCAACTAGTTTTTTTTCCAGGGGACGCTCCTTGGAGACCTCCTATACGCCGCATTCTGCGGCAGAAAGTCAGGGCTTCGCACAGGCAGGGCTTCGACTGGGCCGGCCCATGAAGACAGCAACGAAAATCGAACGAGCACTGCAGCTAAAAAAAATCTATATGCGGTTGCTGGGATTCGAACGCATGATGCACTTGATATACAATACGTGCTCCTACAAGCTCACCTAACAATTGTATCTGGTTAAAAGAGTAGCATCGAGCTTAAAGAACCAAACACGATGCACAGAGCCGAAATAATTTAAGAACTTCGAAAGCAATATTTTTTTAAAACACAGAGTGTTCTGTGAAACACAAACACTTTCCAATTTTTTTTACAAGTTTTAGAAAAACTATAACATTATTGAAAAGCAAGAACATTTCTTGAAAATCTTGAACAATTTTTATAAACCAGAATATTTTTTCAAAGTTCAAAACAAAATTTGGAATGGTGAACATATTTTGAAATTCCTGAACAAAATTTGCATACACAGTTTTATAAAAACTTGTGAACAAGTTTTGAAAACGGGACATTTTTTGAAACTCCTGGATAAATGAAAAAACATGAACAATTTTCGAATTTGTGAACAATTTTTGAAAACAGGAATATTTTTTAAAAATTGTGAAAAAATTAAACAAAAACATTCCAATATTTTTTGAAACAAGAACATTTTTTGAAACTCCCGAAGAAATGAAAACATGAACAAATTTTGAACAATTTTTGAAAATGGGAACATTTTCTAAAATTGTGAAAAATTTGAATAAAAACATTCCAAACAATTTTTGTAAAACAAGAACATTTTTTGAAATGCCCGAACAATTTTTGAAAAATGCAAACAATTTTTGAATTTGTTAACATTTTTTGTAAACACGGAACATTTTTTGAAATTTTGAATATTTTTTAGAAACACGAACAAATTTTGAAATTTCCAACCAATTTTGAAATAAACAGAAAAACAAACAGAAAATAGAAAAAAAGGAAGAAAAAGAAACAGAAAAACGGGAAAACAGAAAAAACAAAAAGAAACAGAAAAATCGGTCAAAAAGGAAAAAACGGTTCAGGGAACCTTCTAGAAGACCGGCTGACTAGCTCTGGTACAATGGGCCGGCCGCTGTGCGTACGGTCGACAATTGGAGGCAAAGAGCGTCGTATAGGGTTTTCCCGCTCCTTGTTCTAAAAGACTTCAATGTACAGTATTGCATTCCGTGTGGTTAGTGGCCGGCCTTATTGAATTTATGACGGGCCGGGCTAGATTGGGCCTGACTTCGCTGACCTACCTCAAAGTCCCAAACCCCACTTCACTAGCCCACCCCTCTCGTCCTGTCCCCCGTTCTTCTCCGACCACCCGCCTCGCCGGCCGCCACCTTCCCAGTTACCGCCCCGCAGGCCGCCACCCACCGCTTCCGCCTTCCCATTTACCACCCCGCCGCCGCAGCAAGACCGCCACATACCTCTCCGGCCAATACATGCTTCAGAGATGCCACTTACTCCGACCTGTTTCCTCCCCCCTCCTCCGCCGCCGCCCCATCCACTCCTCCGCTCCGCCCCAAGCCAACGGCGAGGTCGGCGCCGCGACCGACACCACTCTGCTGGGCCGTCTCACTCGCCTCCTCCTCCTCCACCGCTTCCCCGCCGTCTCCCGCCTCCTCTCCTCCTCCCCGCTCACACACGCACTCCTCCACGCGGCCCTCCGCCGCGTCCGCCTCGACCCGGACGCCGCCCTCCACCTCTTCCGCCTTGCTCCGTACCGCCCCTCCCTCCTCGCTCACGCCCAGCTACTCCACATCCTCGCCCACGCCCGCCGCCTGCCCGCCGCGCGCGCCCTCGTCGCCTCGCTCCTCTCCGCCCGCTCCAGCTCGGCAGCCCCGTCCCTCTTCCCCCACCTCACCGAGGTGTACAAAGACTTCTCTTTCTCAGCCGCCTCCTTCGACCTGCTCCTCCGAGCCCACGCAGACGCTGGCCAGCTCACCGACGCCCTCCACGTGTTCGATGAAATGGGGAGGTTTGGGTGCCGTCGCACCCTGCGATCCTGCAACCGCCTGCTCAACCAGCTTGTACAGGCTGGGGATGTGGGCACTGCGGTGGCTGTGTTTGAGCAGATGCGGTGTGATGGCACACTGCCGGACGAGTTCACGGTGGCCATCATGGCAAAGGCGTACTGCAGGGATGGGAGGGTGACACAGGCAGTGGATTTCGTGCAGGACATGGAGAGGATGGGTGTGGAGGTGAACCTGGTGGCATATCATGCGCTGATGGATGGGTATTGCGGAGTAGGACAGATTGAGGCTGCGAGAAGGGTTTTGCTGTCACTGGAGTCTAAGGGCCTGTCACCGAATGTGGTTACATATACCTTACTTGTAAAGGGTTACTGTAAGGAGGGGAGGGTGGAGGAGGCTGAGAGGGTGGTTAGGGATATGAAAGAAAATGAGAAGATCGTGGTTGACGAGGTAGCCTATGGTGCAGTGATCAATGGCTATTGCCAAAGGGGAAGAATGGAAGATGCCAACAGGGTAAGAGCCGAGATGATTGATGTCGGACTGCAGGTTAATTTGTTTGTGTACAACACACTGATCAATGGATATTGCAAGTTGGGGAGGATGGTTGAAGTAGAGAAACTTTTACAGGAAATGGAGGATAGAGGGGTGAGTCTGGATAAATACAGTTACAATACTCTAGTAGATGGGTATTGCAGACAGGGTTCCATGAAAAAGGCATTTGAAACCTGTGATATGATGGTAAGGAATGGGTTCGCAGGGACAACACTTACTTATAATATGCTGTTGAATGGTTTTTGTTCGTGTGGTGCTATTGATGATGCACTTAAATTGTGGTTCTTGATGTTGAAGAGGGGAGTAGTGCCTAATGAAATTAGCTGTAGCACACTGCTGGATGGTTTCTTCAAGGCAGGTAAAACCGAGAAGGCCTTGAACCTTTGGAAGGAAACCTTAGCAAGGGGTTTGGGAAGAAACGTGGTTACAATTAACACAGTTATCAATGGGCTGTGTAAGATTAGGAGGATGGTTGAAGCAGAGGAGCTATTTGGTAGGATGACGGAATGGAGATGTCCTGCTGACAGCTTGACTTACAGAACACTAATTGATGGTTACTGTAAAATAGGTGACCTGGATAGAGCTACTCAAATTCGGGTTGACATGGAACATTTAGGCTTTGCTCCTTCAGTTGAAATGTTCAATTCTTTCATAACCGGATTCTTTGTAGCTAAGCAAAGTGGCAAGGTCAATGATATCGTTGTTGAAATGACTGCAAAGGGACTTTCTCCTAATACAGTCACTTATGGAGCCCTGATAGCTGGATGGTGTAAAGAGGGCAATCTGCATGATGCCTATAATTTATATTTTGAAATGGTCGAGAAAGGTCTGGCTCCAAATCTCTTCATCTGCAGTGCTTTAGTGAGCTGTTTCTATAGACAGGGAAAGGTTGATGAGGCAAATTTGGTGTTGCAAGAACTTGTGGGTACTGACATGATTCCAGACTGCAGTGCAAACACGCTTGATATTGGTAAAGTAGCACATGTCATTGAATCTGTTGCTGGTGGAAATCATCAGTCTGCAAAAATTATGTGGAACATTGTTATTTTTGGGCTGTGCAAATTGGGTAGAGTATCAGATGCTAGAAATTTGTTTGAGGATCTGAAAGTAAAGGGATTCGTTCCTGATAACTACACTTATTCTAGCCTCATTCATGGTTGCTCTGCCTCAGGTTTTGTCAATGTAGCTTTTGGCCTGAGGGATGCGATGTTGGGCGTCGGTCTTACTCCAAATATTGTAACATACAATTCTCTCATCTATGGCCTCTGCCAGTCTGGGAATGTTCAAAGGGCAGTTAGTCTTTTCAGTAAGTTGCAATCAAAGGGTATGTCCCCTAATGCTATCACCTATAATACCCTGATTGATGGACATTGCAAGGATGGTAATATAACTGAAGCCTTCAAGTTAAAACAAAAGATGATCGAGCAAGGTATTCGGCCTAATGTATTCACCTATTCTATACTGATCCATGGTCTCTGTACTCAAGGGTATATGGAAGAAGCAATCAAGCTTCTGGATCAAATGATTGAGAATAATGTGGATCCAAATTATGTTACATATTGGACACTGATTCAAGGTTATGTTCGGTGTGGTAATATGAAAGAGATCTCCAAGCTTTACAATGAGATGCATATCCGTGGACTTCTGCCTGCCAATGGTACTGGACATGTAAAACATGCAGATCCTGTTGTAATTTGTAAACAGCCAGAATGTAAATATGGACAGTGCTAACTTTTTGTTTGTGTATATATACTTTTCATTACTTGGAAGATGTTGGTCAGTTATGGCTTGCATGAGAAAGCAAATCACAAGGCTCCACCTCAACTTTTCAATGAATCGATAAGTTATCATTACCTCATTTTCTTGTATAAATTTAGTCTGATCTGTTTTTCTCCTGCTTATTTTTATTTCACGTATTAGTCTACTTAGTGTTAGGGATCATGTTTCACAAACCAGCTTTTTTTACAGTCAGAAGCTTCAAAGGTCTAGGTGAATGCACTGGAAGAAAACGTTCCGCTTTCTGCATCACACATTATCCTTTTTGTCCTACAATCGAGGGAGTACTCATGCAATCCATGTTCATCTTTGGATCGATTTTATTAGGTCACTGTCTCGAGAGGTTTTAAAGGTGGTGGATATCATGCAAACTTCTCCAGTCAAGAAGAGGATGAAGGCACACTTTTTTGTATCATCATTCAGAGCTTCAAAGTGGCACTCTTGGGTGATAGTCTTTCATATAGATGAAAGGTAGAATATAAATTATTTTGTTGGGTTTAAGTGTTCTTTTCACGTTCACAAGTGTATTTGGATGTGCCTTTGAGTTGTTGTCTATTTAATCAACAAACCAGGTGTTATTGTTGTTTGTATCTGCACCGTAGGATTGCTAGGAATATGAGGATCCAAAACTCGTTAGATAGTATTAATGATTTTGTTAGTTCTACCAGTCGATGCTGAGTTGCTGACCTTCAAATATGTTATTCATGGCTTGTCTACTTATGCTATTGTTAGAAAAAATGGATAACCTGGGGCATGTTTTATTTTATCTCTCTAACAACAATTGCTTTGGTGAAGAAATTTTCAATGCATATAGGTAACATGCCATGTACGGTGTACCCTTCTTGCTCTTTATCTGGCTTTTCAAGGTGCCAAATATCACATTTGTGGCACATGTTTTCTGTCTTTTGTAGGTGCAAATAGTTCAATAGATAAATCATGGTCAAGAAGTGTATGTCTTAGATTATAGAGCCTCCATTATATGCTGCACATAATCCTGATTTATGGTCAAGTGCACTAAAATTAAATGAACATCATGCAATGCTCTTCATTCCGCTCACCATAGCATGAGCATAACATGTAGAACTATGCCTTAAGAACAATACTACATAAGCAATCATAATGCAGGAATAAAATATATTCTCCATCACATTTGTTCACCATGGTTAGGTGGTCATATATAGCCAAGAATCAAGCAATGGTCCCAGCACAATACAAACAAAGAATTTGATATTATTTACAAATAACGAAATGCTATCAAAAACTCAAACCTCCACCCTCTACAATTTTATAATGCACTAATGCAGCACATCCATGCATGTGAGCAAGACCTTTTCGAATAGCCTCCTGGTAAATTCTTGAGCAGATATGCACTTCGCTTAAACTTACAACTTTCCTCGTGCTTTGTCATCATTAACCTTAATACCATTTTTTCTCACAAGTGCTCAGACGAGATAACAGGGAAGAGGTTCATTTGTTTTGGTACCACACAAAAACTCCGCCTTTTGAGATCAATTCTAATTAAAAAAATCTCAAAGAATTTCAATGCAGCTAACATTGATCTCATTGGCTTCCCTTGTACCTCAGACAGTTAACAGAGCTTCCTGGCGTCATCGGAGGTGGCCTCATCGAAGATGACAGTCAGTTTCTTGCAGATAAGGTGCTTTTCCTTTGTAAGGATGTCGGCCTGCATCGCCGCTGGCTTGCTGGCGATGTGCGTGCTCTGGTGGACGGAGCCTAGGGAGACACGAATCTTATGTCGGCGAGGTGGGGAATGAATAATATTCATATACAGAGCTTACACTTGATGACTACGAAAAAGATCATTCACACAATAGCTTTGGTAACGTTAGAGTGCAAAGTTGTTGCATCTTTTAAGTATTTTTCTTACTATTTTGTAACATGTTGCTGTTCTATATTGTTTTTGCATTTTATTGGCAACTAACACTCTTTCTATCAGCAAAGGCTTTATTTACAACTGAATTTTTATATTTTTTTTGCGGAACAATGTCATAGATGAGTTAATGCATGTTAAGTTAATTGATCTTTCTGAAGTGGAAGGACTTTGTAGAACTTGCCTCTGTTTTTGGAATACGTTATGGTGTCAAGACAAAGAAAACAAAATCCCTACACAGAATAGCTTTGGTGACATTATACTGGGGGATTTTGCTTAATTTTCTCTGCCAATTCGAGCATTGTTTTAATGGCTAATAAGTTCCTTAGATGTTTTAGTATTTTTTAAAACTTATCCATATGAAGTGAAGCACTAAAACATTGAAATTGCTTACAGCCTTCATGCTTGGATGGAACACTCCTTAAGGCTGATAAAATCGCAAGGAGAGGTACAAAAAGCACACTGCGTTTCTATTTATTGTTTTGTGTGACTTCATAATCTTTCTGTATATTTATCCTGCACGGTCCTGCAGGTCAGAGGAGAAGAAGCACGTGGTGGACAAACACACACCGGGGAAGCACCTGACATGGCATCACACTATTCTGTACACCGATGGCCATCTGCACATGAATAGGCAAGATTGTGCGCAGCAAAAGGCGCGCCACTATTTACCTCCAGGTCCTACATATCCAGTGAGTAACTCATACTTAATTGTTGGGTAAGTAAATATGACATGGTCAGAAGTCATGGGCTATGTGCTGCACAGCCATTCCTCTAAACTGGAAGTTGGAACAGTACAATCTGCAATCTTGTCGTAAAGCACATTGCGTATTCAATTGTTTTCAAGAACAATAGGTTTTTTAATCTTCCTTTCGCTCTGTGAAAATAACCTTGCACTCAGCGGATGATTTGAACTACGTGTTCAGTAACAACCCTAAGTTTCATAGGGTGACCGAGGTTTGATGAGATAACATTATACACACATGATCTTTAGGTAGAACAGATATATGGCCTGTCCAGTTTTATTGTCTCATCGAGTTTAAGGCATTGGATATCCTCCTGAGAAAATAGCATTTGCCACATGTGAACTGGATATTTTGCATTTGCCCCATGTGAGAGAAATATCATTTTGATATCCTCCTGAGAAAATAGCAGTCTTCGCAAGAAAAAGCTAACAGTACACCATCTGTTATTGGTTATTAGTAACAGTATATGCTAATTTTGCATTTGCATGCCTGCTGGTTTATGATGGCATTGAAAGATAAGAGCTCTATTCATATCTTGCTTGCACATGTTCGGGTTTCCTGTTTTGGTGCTAGATCGTTGTCCATGAGGTCTTATCGATTCAATAGTTATAGGAACTAAAGAAATCTAAAGGCGCATATGTTATCTAATTTTGTGGTACTTTCAGCTTTGATCTTGCAACTGAACCTGAATGCAAGTACTACTTACTTGGATGGATGGCTAAACTTGAAAGTGAGTAACTAAATCTGTGACCCCTGTGTTGCCCCCTCGATAAAAAATGTACATTGAGGTCAGCTATCTTGAACGTCACTTTTTTAAGTTTCAGTGCAGCATGACCATCATGAAGTTTTATCTTTGCTCCTCGGCATACTACTAATGGTTATGCGTCATCTAAAAATCTGGCGAACTGTTGTGATAGATGAAGGGGCCATGTGCAGCTATACTTCATGATTTTCCTCTTTAATATCCATATATTTTGGTCAATGTCTTGCACAAAATTTTGGTTATAGACCACACAAAGTGATCTTACCTGCGCAATAGGGTTCAGATGTTCGTATGACTAGTTGAGCATTTTCATTTCTCGTCATGGTTGCAGCAAGCTATGAGAAACTATATATCCAATAAAATTCAAGTTACACTGAAACCACTTTTAGAGTTCTAATTGAGAATTTTCTCAAAATTTACTGTATGTTGGCACGGTAATTAATTTTTAATGAACATGTGTAATATCAATGTTGCAGCAAGCTATTTCGGAAGATACTAACAAATTTAACATGAATAGTGATGTTACTGTTCGTCATTATTGCAATCAGAATTTGTTTTTCCATGCATTCAAATAGCTTTGAGTTTGACTGTATAAACTTTTACGCGTTTATAGATCATTACCTTCCGCAACATATTGTAGGCTTTTGATAATTTGTGTAATAAACTTTGAATTGCCTATAGTATCCATGTCGTTTTTTTCCGGTACAACCGAATATTTCCCCCAGAAAGCCATGGCTTAGCCTGGTTGAACATGTCAACCATAATCTCTCCCATCTGCCCACTAAATTCCATTAGTATATGATGCATATCCATGCATGACGTAATGTGCATGGGACATATCAGTTAGCTAGCCTGGCATTGTTTTGCCAGCTCAGTCAGCAGATTATAATTAACTAACTAAACAAGAAACTCTGATGACATCCAACAAGCGCGACAATGCATCATGCTATGTATCTCAGCAAATCCAACATATGGGCGGTGATCTCTAGCATGCCAGCCAGCCAACCTATGTATTTATTTTACCTGAAGTGAAGAGCACCGCGACACGGCCATCCTATATATTCAGCCCAAGACGTACGATAGATAGGATAGAGCCTGTGCTAAACCCATACAAGTACACCAGTATCTGAAGATGAGCTCTCCTGGGAAGACATCGTGGCCGGAGGTGCTCCACTGGTCCGTGTACCCGGCGATGGACAAGATCAAGAGCGACAGGCCGGAGCTGGCCATCGACTCGCTGCCGGTGGGCACCGTCCCGGCCCCGCCGGGCTTCCAGTCGGACCGCGTCCTCGTCTTCTACCATCAAGAGGAGGGGGTCGTCCGCCACGTCGCAGTCATCCCCATCGTCGGCTAGCCGGCTAGTCAATCTGTACTCTATGCTCATCTGGTCTGACATGACCGGTATGCAAAACAAATAAATGTAACGTATTCAGACACACTATATGTGTGTTTATATGAAGCCTGGAATAATATTCTCTCAACCGTCTGAATTAACCTAGCCGGTCCTCCCACAATAACAAATTGGGCTTGCAAGATCCCAAAAGCCTTCTCCACA